TGGAACAGCCTTTGATGATGTGTCACTTGCAGAAAAACGTTGCGGATTTCAGAGGCAGCTCCCCGTGAATAAAGTCGATCCCCATTCGCCTCATTCTACGTCTGCGGGCCGAATAGTGGGTTGTTGTCGCGGGACCATACAGTCTATATTTTACAGTCTTTGGACCAGGCGCTGGACTTGGAGAGAGGCTGCAGCTGATCATAGACTGTTCTGATTCGCTGTTCAGCTTCTCCCTGCTGTCAATCACCTACTGTAGGCGGGCCTCTCACGTCACGGATTGATGCCACGTCATGATTTGAAGCGATCCGTTTTTCTGCCTCCCGAGAATCAAAGAGAAAGATTGCTCCCTTACTAAAGCTTGAGGGAAGCAATAAAAAACCTACTCTGTGCATGTGTATGAAAGCCAAATAGCGCTGTAATGATGTAGCAGAGAAAAGTCCAAATCAAAGCGTAATATACTAGCCCGGTCGAACCACACCATAGTACAAATGACATTTCGTACTAAGTTCTCGACGTGCTCCATTGAGCTCCGTTTACAGGTGGGAAGGGTTAACTCCTTTTGCAGATTGAAACGATGTGATCAGAGTTTACCGTGACGTATTTAGTGCGCCCGAGTCTGTTGCATTTAGCCTAGCCATCTCCTTTGGCGCTAACGGAGCCCGTGGGGAGTAGCGCCACAATTTTCCCAGCGATTACATTTAAACTAAACATTCCTCTTGCTCCGGCTTGAATTTCTTGATAGAACCAGACCGGATTACTTTACTATCACATCCTTCGCCATTGCCAAACTACAACCTGCCTGTTCGACGCAAACTCTTGACATTACCCACAACTAACTACAACACCCGCATTCCGCACTCTCTGAATGGTCGGTCGAAATTCAACTGATTGTAATTGCTAACATGGGGACTAGACCCAGATGTTACATGCAGTGAAATTTGTGTCTGAGGTCCTGACCTGCAGTGTGGGGGCCCCCCAGAGGACAGTCCTCGCGCCGTTCCTCTTCACCCTCTACACTGCGGACTTCAGACACAACACGGACGGTTGTGTTCTACAGAAGTTCTCTGACGACTCTGCCATCATCGGACTCAGCTCCGAGGACGATGACACAGAGTACAGAGGAGTTATACAGAACTTTGTGGACTGGTGTCAGCGGAACCACCTCCTCATCAACGCGGGGAACACCAAGGAGATGGTGGTGGATTTCCGCAGACGTCACTCTGCCGCTCCAGCCCCAGTGAACATCCCGGGAAAGGACATCGAGAGAGTGGACTCTTACAAGTACCTGGGTGTTCATCTGAACCACAAACTAGACTGGACTCATAACACAGACGCCCTCTTCAAGAAGGGCCAGAGCCGCCTCTACCTGCTGAGGGGGCTCAGGTCTTTTGGAGTGCAGGGGCCACTCCTGAAGACCTTCTATGACTCTGTGGTGGCATCAGCCTCTTGTACGGTGTGGTCTGCTGGAGCAAAAGCATCACAGAGAGGGACAGGAAGAAGCTGGACAAGGTCATCAGGAAGTCCAGCTCAGTCCTGGACTGTTCCCTGGACACAGTGCAGCAGGTGGGGGACAGGAGGGTCCTGAGCAAACTAACATCTATGCTGGACCATGACTGTCACCCCCTGCAGGACACGCTCTCTGCTCTGGAGAGCAGCTTCAGTGATAGACTTATTCACCCTCGATGTGTGAAGGAGAGGTTTCGCAGGTCTTTCCTTCCTGCTGCTGTCAAACTGTACAACAAACAATAAAGACCAATAATGACTAATGAACACTGCCAACTTGATTCCAGTGTCATTCTCACATCGTTGCAATATCCTTACCTTATACCAGAATGTGCAATACACAGCTGCCAATATACAGTTGTAAACATGCTGCTGCTAATGTACAGATGCTAACATATAACTACTTGCACTAGATTACACAGTACTTTATACTTGCCTCTTATTTTGTCAATTTTAAATTTTTACATCTATTATATTTTCAAGATAGAGATTTTATACTTATTATTGATGCTAGAGTTAGATTATTTTTATTTTTGTTTAGTATAGCTATTTTTCACTTAACGTGTGCTGTGTGCTCCTCTTTCCTACTGTCCTATAACCTGTGATGCAACACCAAAATTTCCCCACTGTGGGACAAATAAAGGATCTCTTAATCGTAATCTTAATCTTAAATGATGATTGAACGGAGTGTACAGAAGTGTGGGAACTTTGATATGTTTTTTAGTTCCTCTTGGCCCTGGTGCTATCCAGGCAGAGTTGGTACTAAAGTGTTTTCACTGACTGTGATTGGGCATGGTTGCCAAGGAATTTGCTCGGATACTGGTTTGTAGTGGGTTTTGGGTAGAGGTTGCAAGGATAAAGTACTAAAGCGTAATGAAAACGCAACTAGGTAGACCAGAGTACACAACAGGAGCAGGTTTGTGCAGTCATTCAGATGTTTGTTATGTGAGTGTGTCAATAAATTATTTTTTATGTTCTTTTTGTAAACTTCACACATCTCCTTACTCTACACAAACTGTAGGGCTTCACTTCTGAGCTCATGCTTGTTCTCTGCATGTTGTAAGGAAAACGTCACTGAAATGGCATCTGAGGATGCAAACATTTAATATGTAATATTCTAGAGAGAGACAAGAGAGAGAGCCTGCTCCAAACGTAAACCTGAATTTAAAATGTGTATTTCATAAATTATACACATCACAAAAAAGTAAATATTTCCCTCTGGAGATGAAATACCAGGTTTCTAGTTAGACTCTAAGCATGCGGCTTGCTTTATCTGGTCTCTCCCTGGTCTTTCTCTGGTCTCCCTCTGGTCTCTCTCTGGTCTCTCTCTGGTCTCTCTCTGGTCTCTCCCTGGTCTCTCCCTGGTCTCTCTCTGGTCTCTCCCTGGTTTCTCCCTGGTCTCTCTCTGGTCTTTCTCTGGTCTTTCTCTGGTCTCTCTCTGGTCTCTCTCTGGTCTCTCTCTGGTCTTTCTTTGGTCTCTCTCTGGTCTCTCTCTGGTCTCTCTCTGGTCGCTCCCTGGTCTCACTCTGGTCTCTCCCTGGTCTCTCCCTGGTCTCTCTCTGGTCTCTCTCTGGTCTTTCCCTGGTCTTTCTCTCCTCTTTCTGGTCCACTTATAATTTGCTAATAACCCATTATCTGAAGTGCGTGTGTTTTACCAGGTGCACAAGTAAAAACACTGTTTTATTTTCCTGTAGGACCAAAGATTTCCAAAAGTTTTGTTTTTAACGACCTGGAACCTCCTGCTCTTTGGATATTGATCTGATGCTTTGTCCTCGCTGTGTCTTCAAACTCTTTATAGAAACAAACTCAATCAAAGGGAATGTTACTTTCTCCAGTGTGATTGTGTGTGGGCGGGCATGAACTCGGATGCTTTACATATTTTTCCTTTTGTTGTTTCATAAGTCCACAACTGAAAAAACCTCAGAAAAAAACAATGGTTTAAACAGATGGTTTTAGTCCAATCTCACACAGTCTTTTTGTCTTTTACACAATGGCCGTCACAGGAACACTGTGTGTAATATTATCTGGAGGGTTTTGCCACGATGCTGCAGACCTAAATTCACCAGGGCTTGGGATTTTTGTGTCCCTCGTCGTCCTGAACTTTTTCCTTTTGAAATTGATCAATTGTCTATAAATCCTAGTTAGGGCCATAAACTCAGCTTGCTTTCATTCCGCTCTAGATCTACTCTCATCAGCAGCGCTCTGGCTTCCTCTCCAGTCTCTTTCTGGTATCTCTCTCTGTTCTCTCTCTGTTCACTCTCTCTGTTCTCTATCTCTGTTCTCTATCTCTGTTCTCTCTCTCTGTTCTCTCTCTCTGGTCTCTCTGGTCACGCTGGTCTCTCTCTCTGGTCACGTCGGTCTCTTCCTCTGGTCTCTCTGGACTTCATTGAGCTAGCGAATTAGCTTTATGCATCTTTATAGCAGTCCATTAATAACATTGCCTCAGTTATCTTTGGTGTAGCTGGAACACTGGACTTATCAACAGCACCAGTCCTCCCAGTAAAAACTCTGAATTATTCAAAGCCAGAACGAAGCGTTGCGTGTCTTTCTTGACCTCATAAAAAGCAGAGCATCATTTCACACGTCGACGAGCAGGTCCCTCATGATACATGATTAAAACCAAAGCACATCTGCTCCTCTTAAACAATCAGGCTGTATTTAACCGTATGTGTCCACTGTAGGGTATGTGTCTCATAGACTGTATACAGATGGATGATGCTAACACACTAGTTTAATGAAGCCGAACGCCAACTTGCTCTTGCTCCAATTGACTTGTAAAAGTAAACTCCTCTAGCTCTCTAGATAAAATAGAGTAGAGTAAAATAGTAAGAGTAGAGTAGGGCCGATGGAAACACGGTCAACATGTCCATGAGATGTAAATGTCATGGTGTGGACTTCATAATTTTACCTGGTTTTATTTTGATATTTTTTTGTTCTCCTGTTGTGAGTTTTACCTCCTTTCTGTCTTGTTGATTGTTTTCCCCGCCCAATCTGCTACACTTCACGCTTACACTTAACCCTGTTGTTCTGTCCTCTTGTTGTCGGTCCATTTTTGTTTTTCCTCCGTGTCTTGTTTCCAGGTTTCAGTTTTCCCTTTTTGTGGCATTTATTAAATTATATTATTTTTGCAGTTGTTCTTTTGGATCCATCCTTGTATCTTGTTGATAAAGCCATGTTACAGCTTCTTCCCTCTGGCAGAGGATATGATTCGCTGACATCTGGTTATGCTAACATGCTAACGCCTTCTTTCCACAAGCGGTTAAAAGCACCTAATGGCCCTTGCACTTGTAGTGAAGCTGTTTTTGTTGATTGGTTTCGCAGAGACAATAGTTTCTTGTACGTTTTAGCTTGTTTATGTATGTTCTTGTCTGGTGCACACTGGGGACTTTTGCACACATGTATTCCAACGTGGTTTTTCTAAGGCTCGCTATCCCATATTCCCAGGAACATTATGTCAGAAGTCTGCCCTAAAACACCCATCCTCACATCCACCAGAGATGCCAGCCTGTGATTTTACCCCAGAAGAATACAAGGTAAAAGCTAAACAAAACTTTAAAGGTCAAAAAATATATATCATCATTTAGTAATGGTTTAACGTTTCCTTAATACAGAAATACCTGAGCACACACACACACACACACACACACACACACACACACACACACACACACACACACACACACACACACTCTGAGTCCAAATAATATTTTTGCCAATTACCCGAGATTGAATTTGTGTGTGTGCGTGTGTGTGTGTGCGTGTGTGTGCGTGCGTGTGTGTGTGAATGATAAAGGCCACAGTGCATTAAAACAGGTGTATCATGGATTGTTGTGTGTTCATTCAGGGCATGTCAAAGGACCAGATGCTGCAGATCCGCCGTCAGTTCTGTAACCCCATGACCATGAAGGTGACCTTCTATAAACGACCAGTGTTTATCCACCAAGGACACATGCAGTGGCTCTGGGACGTGGACGGGCGGCGCTACCTTGACCTGTTTGCCGGCGTGGCTACCATCAGCGTCGGCCACTGTCACCCGTAAAGTCCTTTCAGATTCACCTTGTACTGTATGTTATAGATATTATCCACTTCTTTTATTATGATTTTGATTGGCTTTCACAGGAGGGTGACAGAAGCGGCCATGAAGCAGCTGAAAACGCTCTGGCACACCACCAACATCTATGTGTATCCTCCTATTCATGAGTATTGTGAGAAACTGGCTTCTTATCTTCCAGATCCACTCAAGGTTTGTGTTTCTGTTTTTCTCGCAGTTAAAGGTTTAGAGTCAGAATCAGAATCAGAATCAGAATCAGAATCAGAATCAGAATCAGAATCAGAATCAGAATCATTTTTATTGCCAACGTAAGTAACGGGAGGTCACAGACTTGGAAATTGCTTTGGCTCAGTGCAACAGTCAAAAAGAGATAATAAAAATAAGAATAAAAAACACTTCTAAAGAATAAATTTAAATTTAAAATAGAGTTACAGTTACTATTTACAATATACAAGTGCACATGGTGCACACAATGTAAGGTGACAGCAGTACAGTGAAGTAAAGTGACGTATGATGGGCAGTAAAGTGACTTTATAAAAGGGCGGGGGGACAGGTTAAGAAGTGTTCAAGAGTCCAACAGCAGAGGGGAAGAAACTGTTCTTGTGGCGGGAGGTTCTAGTCCTGATGGACCGCAGCCTCCTGCCTGAGGGGAGTGGTTGGAATAGTCCATGTGCAGGGTGAGAGGGGTCGGCTGTGATACGACCAGCCCGGCCTCGAACTCGGGCGACGTACAGGTCCTGCAGCGATGGAAGGCTGCGGCCGATCACTTCCTCTGCAGAGCGCACAATGCGCTGTAGTCTCTGTTTGTCCCTGACTGTGGCTCCAGCGAACCACACGGTGATGGAGGAGGTGAGGATGGACTCAATGATGGCCGTGTAGAACTGCACCAACATCTGTGCAGGCAGCTTGGCTTTCCTGAGCTGCCGCAGGAAGTACATCCTCTGCTGGGCCTTCTTGATGAGGGAGCTGATGGTCGGCTCCCACTTGAGGTCCTGGGTGATGGTGGTGCCCAGGAAACGGAAGGACTCCACAGAGGTGATGGGGGAGTCCATCACGGAGGGTGGGGGCGGGGGGACAGTGCTCTTCCTGAAGTCCACAATCATCTCCACTGTCTTCTGGGCGTTCAGCTCCAGGTTGTTACCACTGCACCAGGACACCAGCCGGTCCACCTCCCTCCTGTAGGCGGACTCATCGTTGTTGGAGATGAGTCCAATGAGGGTGGTGTCGTCCGCGAACTTGATCAGCTTCACGGAGTCGTGGCTGGAGGTGCAGTGGTTGGTGTACAGGGAAAAGAGCAAGGGAGAAAGAACACAGCCCTGTGGGGCTCCTGTATTTATAATCCGAGAGTCCGAGACATTCTTCCCCAGACGCACTCGCTGCTTCCTGTCCGTCAGGAAGTCAGTGATCCACCTGCAGGTGGAATCGGGCACGTTGAGCTGGGAGAGCTTGTCCTGGAGCAGGGATGGCAGGATTGTGTTGAAGGCAGAGCTGAAGTCCACGAACAGGACCCTGGCGTAGGTCCCCGGGGAGTCCAGGTGCTGTAGGATGTAGGATAGAGGAGGATTTTTCTGAATGTTAGGAAAGAACCGCTCTCTCCTCACGCTCTACCTGCTCCACAGAGATCGCCAACTAAAAAGTCACTGTGGGCATCGCTCACACAAGCTCACTTTGCCCAAATAGAACGACTGAAGCATCAGAGGGGTAGATAGATAGACCTTTATCCTTTACAATCATCCTCCATCGTATGCACCGGTCAGCAGCCATTCTGTGACAGATCGTTCCGTCATTGATGGTGATATTTCCAATCCGCCTCTTACATTTTTTGAAAACCAAATTTCTGTTTTCCCTGGTTTTAGTCTACTGCTTCAGCTCCAGTCTCCACCTGCTTTTTTCAGCTCTGGACTCTGCTTGACTGCCCTATACCATGGAAGCCCAACCTGTCAGGCCATCATGTGAAAGAACTCCCTAAACACTCTAGTCACATATCACCAGAATGATTGACAGTTAGGAGAACCAATAGTCTTGATGATCCACCTGGAAAAAAAACTCCTCCTATTTACCTTTAACGATCTTCTCTCCAGTAAAATGTTAATTTGTGACAATAAGTCTTTTCTTCTTCATGTGGTTTCAGGTTATATATCTCACCAACAGTGGGTCAGAGGCCAATGATCTCGCGATGCTAATGGCGCGGCTATACACAGGCAACTTTGATATACTCACATTTGGGTATGCTAACAGTTAGGGTTAGATTCGTGCACGGAGCAGTTTTCACATTTCACACATTTCTTCTGTTTTGAAGGAACTCGTACCACGGCAGCAGCACACAGACTCTGGGCCTGACGTCTAACGCAGCGTATAAATATCCTCTGCCCAGTGGGTTAGGCTGCTCCAACGTACGTCTGCAAATGCACAGAAGGATTTGGGTGTCTGTGTTCTTTACAATAATACTGTTGATTCTTCCTCAGACCATGTGTCCGGATGTTTACAGAGGAATCTGGGGAGGAAGCCACTGCAGGGACTCACCTGTGCAGACGACCAGAGACTGCAGCTGTCCACAAGGTGCACACACACACACACACACAGACACACACACACACTGCAAAAAGTGATCAAATGTGAGGTCATAAAAGCTTGAGTTTTTATCTTAATCTGACACATTCTGACTGTGTTAAAACAAGATTCTCCAATGGGACAAATGCATTTAGTCTGATTTCAAGAACTTTTGCTTTATTTTTTTAGTTAAACACGGCAAAGAGTGAAAATACACTTGATTTCAGTCTATTTATCTAATCACATTATTTTCTTTTGACTTTTTTACTCATGCACACTGAAACTAAAGTAGAAAAATCAAGATCCACCTGCAGATAATTCTGGTTGAAACGAGTACATTTTCTCTAATAGTAGCTCTTTTTTCTTGTTTTCTTTGGAGCCACTTTTTGCATTGAAGGGAGACGTTTCTTTTATCTTATCTTGTATCTTTTTTAAACAAGATCATGTCTTGTTGTAAGGCAGTCAGAATGTGCTCAAATAAAAAAAAAAAAAACATTTGGCCAAATTTTAGGAATTTTTTAACTTATTTTTAATCACTTTTTTTTAGATTAAGAGATCCTTTATTTGTCCCACAGTGGGGAAATTTTGGTGTTGCATCACAGGTTATAGAACAGTAGGAAAGAGGAGCACACGGTACGTTAAGTGAACAATAGCTACAGTGCCTTGCGAAAGTATTCGGCCCCCTTGAACCTTTCAACATTTCGCCACATTTCAGGCTTCAAACAAAGATATAAAAAAGTGGGACACAATCGTGAAGTGGAACAACATTTATTGAATAATTTAAACTTTTTTAACAAATAAAAAACTGAAAAGTGGGGCGTGCAATATAGTGATGGCAATATGAAGCCCCATGAAGCCTTGAGGGATCGCAGCCTATTACTCGGCCCATGAGTCGAAGGCTCGAGGTGAATCATGCTCCACTACGCCATCATGTGGACAAAGAAATACATAACACTCAAGTGCTTACAATGAATGGTGAGATCTAATGTTAAAATGTATATTTACAATCTATGGTCTAACGTGTTGTGTTTGAAATGATGCTTCATGAACTATGAACTATTTGAGTCTTTCAGTCAATTGTGTTGATACAACAAACACATCCAAAGTAATACAGTTCTACAGAAAGTGATGAAGAGGAAAAACTACAAGTGGTGGATTAATTAAACACAACAAACCATTTATTCCCAATAAATAAATACATTTACTTTGCAACACAACATTTATTATGGGTAGACCGGGATTCGAACGCTATATCTTCTGCTTCGGAGTCCGTCATAGACCGACTGCGCCACACAGCTGTTGTGAAAGTATCATCCAGCGTATTATTACTAATAACTTGAAGCCTTGATATATGAGGTTTTACTGAAGTGAAACGTTTTTAATTGTATTTCATATGAAGTAGTTTCTTAGTACAGGACTGCTCCACATCACGCACACACACACGTACGCACACACACGTACGCACACAGAGGCAGACGGGGACAGCCAATACAGTCTATGGTACAGCCGCGGATCACAAAGCACCTGTCAAAGCAATGCACTCTCCGAACTATATGAAGCACTATATGAACCGTCACGTGGTGCGGGCGCTACGCGAGGCTTCGAACGTCACCACATACGTCACCAACACACGCCTCGAAACACGCTTCAAAAAATACGCCCCTTTTTTACTAGGTACACGCTTCGAAGACCCGGCACGCTCAGCACATCACTAGTGCAATATTATTCGGCCCCTTTACTTTCAGTGCAGCAAACTCACTCCAGAAGTTCAGTGAGGATCTTTGAATGATCCAATGTTGTCCTAAATGACTGATGATGATAAATAGAATGCACCTGTGTGTAATCAAGTCTCCGTATAAATGCACCTGCTCTTTGATAGTCTTAGGGTTCTGTTTAAAGAGCAGAGAGAACCATGAAGACAAAGGAACACACCAGGCAGGTCCGAGATACTGTTGTGGAGAAATTTAAAGCCGGATTTGGATACAAAAAGATTTCCCAAGCTTTAAACATCTCAAGGAGCACTGTGCAAGCAATTATATTGAAATGGAAGGAGTATCAGACCACTGCAAATCTACCAAGACCCGGCCGTCCCTCCAAACTTTCATCTCAAACAAGGAGAAGACTGATCAGAGATGCGGCCAAGAGGCCCATGATCACTCTGGATGAACTGCAGATAACTACAGCTGAGAGGTGGGAGAGTCTGTCCGTAGGACAACAATCAGTCGTGTACATATTTAGTTTTCTTCTAAGATAATGTAATCGCAACATTTAGCATAATTTGTTTTGACAAAATTGGTCGGAGTTTGATGTGAGAATCAATACAATAGGCTTAAAGTGTAACACATGACGGGGAATATTTCATTCTTTGTGTTCAGAATCTTTCGCTGTCGCCGTCTCGAGTCTTTTCTCCGTCTAACATTCTCTTTCCCCGTCTCCATCTACGATTCCATTCTCCGTCTACGTGTATTTTCCGTCTCTTTCTCCGTCTCTGTTCTCCGCCTCTTTCTCCGTGTCTTTCTCCGTCTCGTTCTCCCGTTCTCGTTCTCCGTCTCTTTCTACGTCTCTTTCTCCGGCGATTTTCCGTCTCTTTCTCCCGCTCTTTCTCCGCTCAGGGTCTTCCTCGTTGTCTCCGGGTCTTCCTCTGTCTCGGGTCTTTCCTCTGAGTCTCGGGGTCTTTTCGTTTCTTCTGCCCTTCGGCTGGTGGCTCTGTCTGGCCGGTCCCTCACATTCTGGGGCCGATGTGTTAGAAACATGCGCTCGCAGTTTCGGCACACGTTACTCCTGTTGGCTTGGAGTGCTGGTTTGTGCTTTGTGGAGCACAGTTTGGAGTTGAACCTATAGCTTTTCTCGCCACTGGTCGGCTGCTTGAAGTCTTTCGTCGAGTGAATGCGCCTTGTGGTTCTTCAGACCTGAGGTGAGAGAAGCTCTTGTCGCCCGGGGGGACTTTTTTTGACGCATTTTCTCCTCGTGGATTTTCATGTGGTCAGTTCATAGCGAGGCCGCTTTGAATTTCCGGCCGCTGACCTCCCGGCAGTCTGTCACGGCACTCCCCTTTTATGAATGTGTTTGGGTTCGTTGCAATACTACGTCTACCAAAAACTTTTCCCGCCACTCGTCACAGGTGTAGGCTTTGATCCCATTCGCGTAGCACCAAATTTTGTGTATTCCCTTTTCTTCCTTCTTTATGCTTCAGATGATGTTGTTTAAGTATTTCGTGGGTTTGAACACCACTCTTTTCAGTTCCAACAGGTGGCAGCCAGAAAATCAAAGAGATAAAAAAAGTTGGGATAGGGGTTACAGATTCTAATGGAAGAATAAGATGAGAAAAACCTTCATTCGTCACCTCAGTGGGGAGTTGTGATGTCACAGTTGTGCAATTCAGAAGAGATGAGAAGAAGAGCACACAGGGTCAATTCAAACACGAATCAATGCAGCACCGGTGGAGGGCTCAGGTTCTGCACACTTAAGAGGGAGTCAGACTGAAACAAAATTGGGTCATGATCATGAGGGGTCAACATAATAGCTTGCATAAACAGAACCCCACACTGCACCAATCATGACCAACATGTTGTTCTGTTGTTCTGTCCTCTTGTTGTCGGTCCATTTTTGTTTTTCCTCCGTGTCTTGTTTCCAGGTTTCAGTTTTCCCTTTTTGTGGCATTTATTAAATTATATTATTTTTGCAGATCGGCTTTTGGGTTCTTCCTTGTTTATCCGTGACAGTCTGTTCTTTAACTGACGTCTCTCTGGTCTCTCTCTGGTCTTTCTGTGGGATCCCTCTCAAGTCTCTGGTTCTGGTCGCTCTCTATGGCCTTTCTCTGATCTCTCGCTGGTTTCTCTCTTTGGTCTCACTGGTCTCTCTCTCTGGTCTCTATAGTCTCTCTCTCTGGTCTCTATTGTCTCTCTCTGGCCTCTCTCTCTCTCGTCGCTCTTTATGGTCTCTCACTGGTCTGATCTCTCTCTCTTTTTATAATGTTAGAGCATGGTGCTTTTGTCTTGTACAAACATCTCTCTGGCAGAAATCACTTTGTGGATCTTGCTCTGTGTGGAACAGAAACATTGTCACTATTAGGCTTTAGGATCATTATCAAAGAAAGCAACAAACACACTGCATCCTTAAACACTGACTCCCGCTGCTAAAAAGACAAACATTTCGCAAACTGCCCGTTGGAAGTCAGCAGGGATGAGACATCAGGGACATCAGAGACATCAGAGACATCAGAGACATGTCCTGCTGTCATGGTCTAAAAAAGGACAGAAACAGAACAAGGTAAAGCGCTCCTTATTCATTCATACACACTCATATACACACTCATTTACACACTCATACACACACACACACACACACACACACACACACACACACACACACACACACATACACATACACACACACACCAGACTCATTCTAATGTGGAGGAAGTGTCTTGCCTAAGGACATAGCAACAGTTATAGCATTTTACTGCCGTAGCCGCCCCACTGTGGTCTCCCTTCATAGTACTAACCGGACCCTGCCCTGCTGAGCTTCAGAGGTCTTACAGGTTCTGGCTTTCACCCACATGAAGTAGTAGCAGTAGTAGTAGGTGCACTAATAGCAGCAGTAGCAGCAGTAGCATTAGTAGCAGTAGTAGCAGCAGTAGCAGTAGTAGCAGCAGCAGTGACAACGGCAGGAGCAGCAGCAGCAGCACTAGCAGTAGTAGTGGAGCAGATGTAGTAGTAACAGTAGCAGCAGTAGTAGCAGCAGATGTAGTAGTAGTAGTAGCAGCAGCAGCAGTAGTAGTAACAGTAGCAGTAGCAACAGCCGCAGGAGTAGCAGTAGCATTAATAGCAGCAGCAGTGACAACGGCAGGAGCAGCAGCAGCAGCACTAGCAGTAGTAGAATCAGAATCAGAATCATTTTTATTGCCACGTAAGTAACAGGAGGTCACAGACTAGGAAATTGCTTTGGCTCAGTGCAACAGTCAAAAAGAGATAATAAAAATAAGAATAAAAAACACTTCTAAAGAATAAATTTAAATTTAAAATAGAGTTACAGTTACTATTTACAATATACAAGTGCACATGGTGCACACAATGTAAGGTGACAGCAGTACAGTGAAGTAAAGTGACGTATGATGGGCAGTAAAGTGACTTTATAAAGGGCGGGGGGACAGGTTAAGAAGTGTTCAAGAGTCCAACAGCAGAGGGGAAGAAACTGTTCTTGTGGCGGGAGGTTCTAGTCCTGATGGACCGCAGCCTCCTGCCTGAGGGGAGTGGTTGGAATAGTCCATGTGCAGGGTGAGAGGGGTCGGCTGTGATACAACCAGCCCGGCCTCGAGCTCGGGCGGCGTACAGGTCCTGCAGCGATGGAAGGCTGCGGCCGATCACTTCCTCTGCAGAGTGCACAATGCGCTGTAGTCTCTGTTTGTCCCTGACTGTGGCTCCAGCGAACCACACGGTGACGGAGGAGGTGAGGATGGACTCGATGATGGCCGTGTAGAACTGCACCAACATCTGTGCAGGCAGCTTGGCTTTCCTGAGCTGCCGCAGGAAGTACATCCTCTGCTGGGCCTTCTTGATGAGTAGTGGAGCAGATGTAGTAGTAACAGTAGCAGCAGTAGTAGCAGCAGATGTAGTAGTAGTAGTAGCAGTAGCAGCAGTAACAACAACAGCAGCAGCAGCAGCAGTAACAGCAGCAGCAGTAGATAACGGCCACTTGTGTGTTTTCTGTGTGAAATGGCTGTGGCTTTCACTAATATCTCTCTGACCCAAAACTCAACAGCAGATGCATGAATTTGAATAATGATCTTATGTAAACATACGCCACACACACAGAAGAATACTCTATACTGGTGGAGTCTGTGGGCTTGTCACAAATACAGAACAAAAGTGAGAACTCAAATGCACGACTGCCCAAAGTACAAGATTTAATAAACAAATCCCAAAAAGGACATACATGATATAACAGAACTCCAAACCTCACCCACGATGAAACCGGGACAAAAACACGATGGATCGACAACCAGAGGAAAGGAGCACAAGGTTTAACCCCGTAGAAACCGCACACACACATATTAGCCGAGAAATAATATCTGTGCTATTTTTGGAAAGCAGCATTCAGTGACCATATTTGGGAATTTTGCATATTTGCTTCTTTGGGTAGGTTCTTGTGCACATACATAATTAAATGCATTCAACCAAAAAGTCCTAATGTTTTGCCAATAACCGTCGACCTTTATGTTGTATATTTTTAACCGAGGGTGCTACGGGGTTAAACATACACAGGTAGAAACTGATGAAACACGTAGAACATGTGTGGGACGACATTCAACTGAAGAGACAGAACAAAAAGAAAGACCGGAGAACAAATAAGCGTTTCATAAGCAAAAATGGATATGTCCCTTTTTGAAAATTCTTCTTTACTTGTATTGCACTAAAATAGATCTGGTTTTAGAAAACTTGGTAAAGAGCAAATTGTAAGCCTTTCCTTTTTTGTTCTAATAACTATTCAAATACATACAAAAAAACTGGTCAAAAATACCAGTACTCAAAAACTCAAAGTCCACCTTATGACAGGATTCAGCTGTTGGAACTGTAAAATGTTTTGCTTTCCGCTGAATATGTCTCAGTTGTCGGTGAGCGGTGTTGATGACATAATAACACAGTGGCTCCTCTCTCTGTAACATGGTTTTTCTTTCGATGTTTCGCTTGTGTGTATGGAATTGTGCTTTTTCTACAGCGTACTCCTACAACATCATTAAAGCGCTAGTAGAACATGACAGTTACCTTTATTTTAAGTCACAAGAAAATATTTGTGTCTCACTCTGGTCTCTTCTCTCCTCATACTGGTCTCTCTCTCAGGTCTCTTTATGGCTTATATCTTAGGTCTCTCTCTGATCACTCTCTCTCTCTCTGGTCTCTCTCTCTTTAGTCTCTTTCTGGTCTCTCTCTGGTCTATCTCTGTTCTCTCTTTCATTTCAGCAGTTAAGGTTGTTAGAAAAGTGTACAAAGTGTGTGTGAAGGGTTTTACTGCCTAACTAGTTTTACCGGGGCAACAGTTGGTAGAGCTTTGGCCTTTGAGCCCGAAGGTTGTGGGTTCGAGCCCACCACGAGACTCCGTTTGATGTCTGCTGTCGTTTTGTCCATGTGTATGTAGATGTGTAAGCATCAAACTGAAATTTCCCCATTTTGGGACGAATAAAGGACCTTCTTCTTCTTAAACATACATCTGCTACTTCAAGGATTTCACTTATTGTGATTTTTTGAACACATCAGCCTGCCATAAAACAGGGACCAGTGTTTTCTGATTTTCCTACAGTTTCATATTCAACATTAGATTTAGTCCCTGTATCTTTTTAAAGCTTTGAAGCTGAACATATCTTCAGAGAGTTCACCTCAGTTTTATTGGTTAAAGTTACATATGATGCAAATTCTTGGTAATTTGTTGTAACATTGTTCCCAGATTTAAAAAAAGGCCAAGACTGAGTTGTTTTTGCTACATTTACTGATGCGACAGTGTTTCGGCACAGAACACTGGAATCATAGGTGATTGCAACAGAGATCAGAGAGACCATCTCTCTGGTCTCTGATCTCTCTGTCTCTGGTCTCTCTCTCTGGCCTCTCACTTTGTTTCTCTTTCTCTCAATGATCTGTTCCAATCATCTGTGATTCCAGTGTTCTGTGCCGAAACACTGTTGCATCAGTAAATAAACAAGGTTACAACAAATGACCAGGAATTTGCACCAAATGTAACTTTAAAAAACTGCCTTGTGAACTCTCTGAAGATATGTTCAGCTTCAAAGAGAGAGGCGAGAGAGAAAGACCAGAGAGAGAGAGAGAGAGAGACCAGAGAGAGAGAGAGAGACCAGAAAGAGGGGCAAGAGACCAGAGAGAGAAGTTTTTATAATGATGTAAGAAACCAGTGATAAAAGCAAAATGCTAGTGGACTAGTTGGATGGATTGTATTACTATGGCTTGAAAGTCAGGTACACCAGCTTTAATATCTGATGTATTATACTTCTGCCAGCTCTGTTAGTGTGAGAAACTGCATCCTGTTGCGTTTTACACTGCTCCTTTTTATCTACAATCAATTTATTTTGCTACTGGCTGACATGTTAACTTTTCTAACCCACTACAACACCAAAAAGAGTAATAATAAATTGTCGGTCCTCAGGGTTCAGAAGGCTCGGTCTTCAGGGTTCAGAAGGCTCGGTCTTCAGGGTTCAGAAGGCTCGGTCCTCAGGGTTCAGAAGGCTCGGTCCTCAGGGTTCAGAAGGCTCGGTCCTCAGGGTTCAGAAGGTTCGGTCCTCAGGGTTCAGAAGGCTCAGTCCTCAGGGTTCAGAAGGCTCAGTCCTCAGGGTTCAGAAGGCTCGGTCCTCAGGGTTCAGAAGGCTCGGTCCTCAGGGTTCAGAAGGCTCGGTCCTCAGTGTCCAGGATTCAGTTCTTCAGCCCCATCTATTCTTAGTCATTTAGCCACACGTTTAAACACATATTTTGACTTCTATTGTAGACCTGCTGCTCTCATCATTATGGATCCCCCACCTGCTTCTGTCTGCAATCTGCTGCATCATCAGCTCCTGAGCAAATTCCTCTTTTCTTTTTACCCCTGTCCTCCTTCTATCTTTTTCCCCTATCTCTCCATTCCTCCTCCATCTTCTGGTGCTGATGCTGGTCTTGTATAAGTGCTACTTTACTGCAGTGCATCTGTAGCTATGCCTTTACTACTAGCGTGTTTACCTTTTGCATAACATTTTCAACGCTTACGCTGTTAGCTTTGATTATCATCCCAGCATCCGTGGGATTTGTGAGTGCCTCTCTCCCTGCATTCTCCTCCGCTCGCAGGCAGGCTGAGCTGGTGAGCGGGGAGGTTTGATGGGAGGAATGCCCTTGGTTTGACCGTGAGGTGGGAGAGGGAGAGGGAAATGGGCTCTGCAGTAAGTGCCAGGGAATGAGTAAGACGTTTTGTTCAGAGCGGTGTGTGGAGGGAGCAGCGCTACAGATAAAACGGCTGTTGCATGAAGTAACTTGGGCCAGCTGTTCTCTACACCATGGCGAAATCTGTATTGCTATGAATGTGTTATAGTGTTCTGTTAGAAATATTACTGATGATGATCTGCCATTTTATATTTACATCTTTGAATTCACCACTGACCCAAATAAATTCTTAACAAGACAATAATGTTTCAAGTTGCCAGATCAGTGTGTGGGTTTATCATTTTTACCTGCAGACCAGAGAGAGACTATACAGAAACTATAGAGAGACCATAGAGAGACCATAGAGAGACCATAGAGAGACCAGAGAGAAAGAGACTAGAGAGAGATGCCAGAGAGAGAGACCAGGGAGGGAGAGACCAGGGAGGGAGAGCCCAGAAAGAGAGACCAGAGAAAGTGGATTAAAAAAGCAGGAGCTGGTGCAGGGAGCAGAGCGGAGCTGCACATCAGTTGCATAGCAACAGGAACTTTTTGAGGCCAGAAATGTTTCACCACAGGAATGTGTCAGAATAGAGCAGAGGGACAAGAGCAGAGGTCCAATAGGGTGCTCATAGATAAAGTTTAGTTCCAACTCTCTCTGGCTCCTACATGTAAAAGTAAACTCCTCCAGCTCAGTAACAGTTTGTGTCACACTCAACCATTTTGAGCTGAAATCTGTGGTTTTTTTATTATGATATTGTCTTTGTATATCCAGATATGAGCTGTATCAATCAATCAATCAAATTTTATTTATAAAGCGCTTTTCATACAAAAAGTGTAACACAAAGTGCTTTACAGTTTAGTTAAAAACAATCCAACATGCCCAGCCCTAAACCCTCCTCCCCACAGACCCCCCAAAATCACATTTATAATTATATATACAATACACACACACACACCACACACACACACACACACACACACACACACACACCACACACACACCACACACACACACACACACACACACACACACACACACACACACACACACACACACACACACACACACACACACACACACACCACACACACACACACACACATATACACAAGTATAAAGTCATATCAGGTAAAATAGGTAAAACAATAAAAAGAAATGGGGCTGGGAGCAGATGTAACCGGCTGAAGAAGCGTCATCCAAGGAGCCATCTGCACCAGGAGCAGAGAGCCGGCTGCAGCCACAGGCAACGGACACAGGACCCAGAGGAGAGAGGGGCCCCAGACCCCACCAGGCCCAGGACTCAGACCCCATAGGACCCAGAGGAGAGAGGAGGCCCCAGACCCCCACCGGATCCAAGAGCCAGTCCCCCGAACACTGGGGACACTAAAACAATACAATAATACAATAGAAAGTAGAACAATAGAATGTGAAAATAAAAAGAAAAATGGCAGCTGCCTAATATAATAACAATAGTAAATGGGTAGATACAATAAATAATTAAAAATAGTAAATAATAAAAATAAATAAAAATATAATCCGTCTAAAAACATAAATAGATGTACTAAAAAGCAATAATAGATAATAAATACTAATCAAAAGCTGCTCTAAAAAGGTGCGTCTTGAGCCTACTCTTAAAAATATATGTATAAGGGTTGACCAATCACCAATTAATTCATGCTTACCTTAGTAACTATCTGAGCAACACGTCCACTCCTGTTACAGCACAAATGCCCATTTAAGAAAACTGGCTTCAGCTCGCTTATATTCAAATCTGCTTAATCCGCATTAAGGCCAACACTAACTTAGTCCACTCGTCATATACAATACCTCTATGGTTCTCCGTACACTGTTGCTGTATCTTCTGGTTGTTAATTGCCGCTCTCCTTCCTTCGTTATCCACATGTTTTATGACTGTCCTTGGATACGAGACAGAGCTGTCCATCTCGCTGCTGGACAGAGGTGACAGACACGGCTCACACCAGTCGAGAGGAACTGAAGGATTTTGATGAAACTTTACATTAGAATTCACATTGAGCCGTTTCGTTTGCAGTTTCTGTTGATGTTTCAGATGTGTTAACGTTTGAGGAAAGATTGAAACAGGAACAAAAGTAGACAATGGGACAGATCACCCGCTGTCCCTTTGTCTGTTCTATGAGACCAGTGAGCGAGACCAGAGAGCGAGACCCATAAACTGGACTCGACACCCCGAGCTTGTGAGCGTCCTTAGCCCTGAACTGCACTGCACATACTGTAGTCTTGGTCCTGGATCTACAGCCTCAGTGTTGGTTCCTCTCTGATGCAGAGGGTCAAAGGACAGTGATGATCTGGGACATTTCTGCACATTTATTAACATTTGTGACAGTGATCATCCTGCTCCCTATGGACCAATGGCTGATTTGCGTTTGTTATTATCAAATTTCCTGCGTTTGAACTATTTAATTTTCTGAATTCTCTGATCTGTTGTTGAATCCACAACTTTGTAAAGTCCTTTGAGATCTGGTATTGTGATTTAGGGCGATAGACAGATCTTAGTTTTCCAACATGTTGCATTCATATTTTGACTTTCAGATTCACAGAAGAGCTTACTGTAACCTGTGTCTGGAGCTGGAATAAACAATATCAATAGTATTTTCCAGTTTCATTGATTTGTCTGCAGCTAACCAAAGAGCCAGCTCTGCTTTCTCATGAATCTTGATTCAGGGTTACAGTTTCATTATACAGTGGGGGGGTTCTTCAGCTTCTTCAGGTCTGGTTCTTCAGCCGGTTTATGTTTACGGATTTTTTTTTTATTTCCTTGGCGGCCCGGTTTGAATGTCCTACGGCTTGGTACCAGTCAATGGGCCGGGGGTTGGGGACCACTGTTCCAACTGACAGTGATTGGCCAGATTGCTCTTAGAAGCCATGGTTTCCAAGGAAATTCTACGGATACTGGTTTGTTGTGGGTAGTTTGCGGAAAGTGATTGTGTAAGGGAAAGACAACCAGGTTGAGTAGAGTAGAGTACAGTAGTCTCTTTTGTTTCTCTCTGGTCTCTCTGTGGTCTTCTTTCTCTGGTCTTTCTCTCTGTACTCTCTCTGCTCTCTTGCTGTGGTCACTCGCTGATATCTCTCTTGTCTCTCTCTGATCTCTCTGTGGTCTTCTCTCTCTGGTCTTTCTCTCTGTACTCTCTCTGCTCTCTCGCTGTGGTCACTCGCTGGTCTCTCTCTAGTCTCTCTCTTTGCTCTCTCTTTGCTCTCTCTCTGCTCTCGCTTTGCTCTCTCTCTGCTCTTGCTCTCTCGGTTTCTCACTCTCTGGAGGAGGAGGTGAGCGTGACCCCACTAAGAGGTTAGAGACCTTTGGGACTTGTGCCATTAATTACAACCCGTGCACCAGCCGGGCTCCCTGCTCTCGCTCCTATCTGACTACTGCACTCCAGAGACGGGCCTGTTCCAATTAATAAGCCTAATGGTTATTGGCAGCCGAGAGCAGGCGAGAGCGGACGGGGTCTGCGTTTGACCCGGGAAAGATATTTCAGAGGTAATTAGGATTAACGACTCCACGCTTTGAGTCGAGGCGTTTCTCAGCTTCTGTAGACAGAGGCTGGTTTCCTGTGGATTGGGGTGGCTAATGTTTTTTGGTAAATTTCCATGGAAAGTTAAGCTGGGGATTTTTTAAATATTTCCCATTGCAAATGAATACATCTGCCTCCAAAACATCTATGTATCTATTGTACGTGATATTTACCATTTAAACATTTAATCAATATATTTTCTCATATTATCATTAAAACCACAGACTCAAATGTGCCTTCAATAGTCTTGTGCTTTGGGATCAAAAGTCTGGTTCAGTTGCAGTGTGCTGTGGATGTTATTGAGGAATGACATGGATATTCACGTACTGTATATTTCAATGGCATCTGTTTGTTTTATTCAAGATTATGCTGAAATATACTTTTCTCAACAATATCTAAGTTCCATATGAAGAGCCAATTCCTGTTTTTACCATTAATACCCATGGAAAGTTTCCGTCTTTGAAAATTCCCGGATTCTTGCAACACCACTGTGGATATGTGCAGGTTCTGTGTGCAGCTTTAGCCCTGAGCTGTCGGCTTTGAGGGAAGACAAGTCATTACCTCTGAATGTTGAGTAAGTGAGTCTACTCCACTCTACTCTACTCTACTCTACTCTACCCTGTTTGGGAATGTTTCCACTAGCTTTGTTTAACCTGTACTAGGTCCTTCTTTAGTCCCTCTTGGCAGAGCTTTACAACGAGGTACAGTAGGCCTATATCTGCAGAGCCGAAGTTTGCAGGTTGAGTAAATGAGTTTGGACCCGTCTGCTGTACGTTGAGTGCTCCCACAGATGAAAGGCGTCTCTTCTGCTCCTCGAGTGTGTCCTCTGTCCCAGGTCTTCCTCTCTGGTCTCTCTCTCAGGTCTCTCCCTGGTCTCTCTCTCAAGTCTCTCTTAAGTCTCTTTCTCTGGTCTCTCTCTTTGATCTCTCTCTCAGGTCTCTCTCTCTGGTGTCTCTGTCTCTTCCTCTGGTCTCTCTCTGGTCTCTCTCTCAGGTCTCTCTC